CCTCTGTCCGTGGGATTCTCCAGGCAAGAATACTGGAGCAGGTTGCCATTTCCTCCTCCAGGAGATCTTGACCCAGGGACCAAACTTCAGGAGCCAGAAAATGAACTATAAATAATAGTTGAACACATCCAAAGGAGAAAAATACAAAAGATGTGGAAAATCCCTGAAATGGACAAGAAGTCATGAATACCAAACATCTATATTTGTTGGAATTAATTTCATTTTGAAATTTTAAGAAAGGTTGTTCAGTTTTTGTGATTGTATATTTCTTTGCAAAACTTTTTTTTTTCTTTTCATTTCCTCATGTGTCAAACTCACTCTCTCTGGGTTTTCAGGTTTACTGGAAGAGGCGATCCGTTATATAGTAATTTGTGCCCTGGAATAATTAATTTACCTCACATGAGTGAGTACTTTATTCTGAGAACTTGCAGTGTACCCTGAGTCATCGCAGACCTGGCTTTAATCAGTGCAGAGAAAGCTTGTTAATTGTCCCTCGTCTTTGCTAATGCTTGGCTCTGATTAGTGAAGCAGGCTTTTATGTTTGATGAAGACTTTATGGAGAATATGCAACTGTTCTTTGGGCTGTCTTTTCCTGCAACTGAATCTATACATTTTAAGATCACACACAGGCATGGCATGGACACCAGAGACTTTTGCAACATCTTTTCTATCAATTCAATTTGAATTCTAAACAGGTCTCCCAATGTTGCAGCTGAAATTAGAGAATTGATCACTCTTGAAAGACATAAAAGCGCTTATATTCATAAAGTGAATGTCATGGCTACACAATATGTAGGTAAACACAGATAAGGTGTGTACGTATTTTATGTTCATAACCAGAAGTCTGCCTTCACCACCCACCATCTGTATGGATGCCTTTCTCTTTGGTTCTACAGTTACCAACTGCCTACTGAAGGATTCTGGGTCTCCATTAAGCTAGACTCAGCCAGCAGCTTCCTGGTGCCTCAGATGAAAGAATCCGCCTGCAAGGCAGAAGATCTGGGTTGGTCCCTGGGTTGGGAAGATCCCCTGGAGAAGGAAATGGCAATCCAGTCCAATATTCTTGCCTGGGAAATCCCATGGAAAGAGGAGCCTACCCGGATACAGTCCATGGGGCCGTAAAGAGTTGGACATGACTGAGTGGCTAACACTTTCACTTTCAGCCAGCAGCTGGTGAACATACACGTGGTACCACTGCATGCAGGGAGCCGTGGTGGAGGAAGAAGGCCAACCCCTGCCTGAGAGTGTGCATGCTGGTGGAAAGGAAGTGAACATTGTTTCATTGATCACCAGGGTGGAGGCATGGAATACAATAAAGGAGAAAAGTGTTGGTTGGAGTTTTCTAGTCAGAAAATAGTCCAGTGACAGATTATCAGAACAGAAAGTCTGTTTTCTCCCTGAAGACTGTTGAGACAGTATTAGCTGGCCTGAAATTTTTCTATACTGCATTGAGAGTGGGACAGTGATGAAGAAAAAAAAAAATCTCAACTGCTGGTGAATCTAAAAACCACTAGTTATCATGCTTTAGCTTCTCCATCTCTAAATTGGTAAAAATCACCCTGCAGTTATGTTAAACCCTAGTATGGACTTAACAAAGCAGAGGGCACTGGTGAATTCTGTATGTACCTTCCCTCCACGTAGTCACATGGAATAGAACCTAACACCCGTTCAAAGGTGGACCTGTTTGGGGAGATTATATGGACCCAGTGCTGCAGTGGATTTTGAAAACCAACAACCATTGTGGGAAAGAAGGTGACTCTAGTCTCTAGGTCGTGCCCATCCAGATCTGTCCTGCACATGTACTTAAGTTTTCTTTCTAAAATACAGATCTGTTGATGACACCCCACCATTCCCATGAGTTGAGAACACACTAACGAGGTGCCAGGCACTGTGATAAGCATTGAGGACACTGTTTCCCCCATGAAGCTTCCAGCTGGGTTGTGGAGATAAACTTTAATTATATGGTTGAAGATATAATCTCATGTTTTCACCTCCAGCCTATAGAATAGGCTCCTAAGCATCACATATTCAATATGAGTGTCACGTGTCCTTGTTGTTGTTCAGTCGCTAAGTCATGTCCGACTCTGCGACCCCATGGACTGCAGCACACTAGGCTTCCCTGTTCTTCACCATCTCCCAGAGTTGGCTCAAACTTATCTCCTTTGAGTCAGTGATACTATCAAAACATCTCATCCTCTGTTGCCCCCTTCTCCTCCTGCCTTCAATGTTTCCCAGCATCAGGGTCTTTTCCAATGATTTGGCTCTTCGCATCAGGTGGCCAAAGAATTGGAGCTTCAGCTTCTGTATCAGTCCTTCCAATGAGTACTCAGGGTTGATTTCCTTTACGATTGACTGGTTGGATCTCCTTGCAGTCCAAGGGACTCTCCAGAGTCTTCTCCAACACCACAGTTCAAAAGCATCAATTCTTCTGTATTCAGCCTTCTTTATGGTCCAACTCCCACATCTGTACGTGAGTACTGGAAAAACCGTAGCTTTGACTGTAGGGATCTTTGTCAGCAAAGTGGTGTCTCTGCTTCTTCATACGCTGTCTGGGTTTGTCATGTGTGTGCCTCCCTAATTAGAGGGAGACTAGTGCTGCAGTCCATGGGGTTGCAAACAGTCAGACATGACTGAACAACAACAACAAAGCTCATTTGTAGTTTTGTGTACATAGGGTGGTATTGAAGGGGAGGTGGTTTGACTGGCTTAGAGCACCCTATGTCAAAAAAAGACCCCTGTTTGCAGTGAAATACCTCCTGGCCTTTGTTTGAGAGGTTCTGTGCATTGACCTATACGTGACAGACTAGAAAGTGACCCTTGGAACACTCGTCCCCAGCCTGAACAGTGCATCCACATCATAAAGATGCCCACGTTTCCCAAACGAGGGCGCCGTGGGCGCTGGGTCTCTGGTACCTGCCGAGGCTGTTTCTCACCCTAGAGGATCACACCTGTGCTCGTTGCAGGCCGTGTTGAGTTACAGGGAGGTGTCTGGCAGACAGAAGCCTCACTCGGTGTCATGTTAAGGACACAAAGCAATGGAAAATGATCCTGTGAACATTCATGCAAAATTCATGGTTTTTTTTTTTTAATTCCTACAGCATAGCTGTAGTTTTGAATAATTTCTGAATAGAAATTTTTGTTAAATCGCTCCCTGAATGAACTAAAGATTGCTTATCGCCTGTGTGGTTTATATTTTTCCCAGTGAATGAATGTGAGCATGATCTCAGAGGGAAATAAATAACATGTTCACGAAACAATTTTCTTTAACCTCTTAAAAATCACTTCTTGAATGATAAAGAAAACATCCAAATCCAAGCGGGACTGAGGGAAATAGGGTTTAGTATATGAGACAAGTAGGGGCTTCAATTCTATGTTGTTATTTAGTCGCTAAGTCGTGTCCGACTCTTTGCAACCCCATGGACTGTAGTCTGCCGTTGTCCTCTGTCCATGGGATTTCCCAGGCAAGAATACTGGAGTGGGTTGCCGTTCCCTCCTCCAGAGAATCTTTCTGACCTAGAGATGGAACCCCACAGCTTCTGCAGTGGCAGGCATGTTCTTTACCACTGAGGCACTGCTGGCTTCTTCAATTCTGTAGCTGATGGTTTATTATTAAAAATGAAAGTGATTGAATACTTAGGTTGCTTCCACATCTTGACCATTGTAAATAGTGCTGCAGTGAACACTCGGTGTATCTTTTTGATTTGTGGTTTTCTCTCAATTTATGCCTGGGAATGGGATTGTTGGATCATACGGCCACTCTATTGTTAGTTTTTTGAGGAACCTCCTTACTGTTGTCCATAGTGGCTGCACTGATTTATGTTTCCAATGACAGGGTGGGAGTGTTCACATTTCTCCACACCCTCTCCAGCATTTACTGTTTGTAAATTTTTTGATGATGTCCATTCTGATGGGTGTGAGATGATAACTTCACTGTAGTCTAGATTTGCATTTCTCTAGTAATTAGTGATGTTGAGCATCTTTTCATGTGCCTCTTGGCCATCTTTATGTTTTATTTACTCCAATAAAAAATTTTTTTTTAAATTCTATACAACCAACAAGGACCTACTGTATAGCACAGGGAACTCTGCACTATATTATGTAACAACCTAAATGGGAAAAGAATTTGAAAAAGAAGATGTACACATATACATATAGCTGAATCACTTTTTACACCTGAAACTAACACCACAATGTTAATCAGTTATACTCCAATACAAAATAGAAAGTTAAAAATGTAGAGGTCAAGAAAAAGGAGCATAAAGAGCTCTGTGGTCCCAGAGTTTTGGAAATGTGGGGAAAACAAGCAAAACAGTTTCCTTCCTTTTGGAATTTTCAGAGCCTATGAATACATTTTGAATTTTCCAGAAGTGAATATAATAGATAAGCATTGGGTTAGTCTAAAAGTTCATTCAGATTTTTTCCATGAGATGTTAACAGAAAAACTTGAACAAACTTTTGGGCCAACCCAATAGAAATGAGAACCAGAAGTAAGGCATCAGAGTCACAATGAGTGAGTAGGTCCAGAAGATTCAGGATGAGGGACAGAAGATGACTGGTGAGCAGAAAAATGGTGAGGGGCACTGAGGATGTACAGAGAGAAGTCCAGTGTGACCGGTTTCAAATTTAGGATTTTAAGCAATAGTGTAGCATTTGGGGCACTAGAGGAAGAAAGAAGATGGAACTGGCTTTATAGGAAGATAATGGGTTTTGAATTTATTAGGAGCTTGTTTTATTTGTGATGTTGGCAGACTAGCTGATATACTGATGTCCACATCCAGAGACTTGAAAGCTGTGCAGAGCCAAGTTGGAGCCTTGGATATTGATGAAGACTTCCAGAAATAATAGGGTTTCCAAGGATGCAAATTACAGTCACTTACAAAATTCAATCAATGATGTAGTTGTGGGTGGAAGGGTAGAGCCAGCCTCGTCAGCTACCTGCTGACTCATATTCTGATTGGGACCATTATCCTTTTTAAATAGAAGCTAATCTCTTCTTGCAGAATCACGGCTTGTGCGATGACCATGAATAAGTACGTGGAAGAGAACGTGTCTCAGAAATCCTACACGACCATCAAGTATTTCATGAAAATGCTAAGCAGCGTCAGCGAGACCCTGATCTTCATCTTCATGGGCGTGTCCACTGTGGGGAAGAACCACGAGTGGAACTGGGCCTTCGTCTGCTTCACCCTGGCCTTCTGCCTCATCTGGAGGGCGCTGGGTAATGAGCACATGTCTCCTCCATGGGCCTGGGAGTCTGGTACAGAAGCACTGGTCCTTCCTTCTTTCCCTCTGCTTTGTGGTTGCTATTGTTACTTCCCTTCATCTTTCTTATCTCCTTCCTCCAGCTCCTCCTCTTCCTCCTTATTCTCCATGTCCTCCTCCTCCTTCTTTCCCTGCATCCTGACATGTTCTTTTCTTCCTGGAGTATTTTTATGCCTTTGCTTTAAGTGGAATTAACTGCTCTTGGTGTCTCTGATTCCACGTTCTCACTCACTGTCTTGGAACAACACAAGTCCCAGAACCCAGTGATGTGAGTCAGGCTGGTAGGAAAGGGCTTCTTCTGAAATACAGACGGTCCCCTGCGTATGAACTAATTTGGTTCAAAGAGCATGTTCATACTTCCAATTTGTTAGTAAGTCCGACAAAGTTAGCCTAGGTACCCAACTAATACAGTTGGCTGTATGGTACTGTCCTGTAATAGATTTATGATACTTTGCACACAAACAGTGCTAATAAGAAAAACTAACAAACACAAAAAATAAAGAGAAGATTTTTAATCTTACTGTACCTTAAAAAGTACCGTAGCAACAATACAGCTGCTGGCATCCAGGGGCTGGCATCAAGTGAACAGGCACGAAGAGTTCCTTCCTGGAGGAAGGAGAGGAGGTGGGAGGTGGTAGAGCTGAAGGATCGTCAGCGACAGGAGACAGAGGGCGAGCTGCAACTTCACTCATGCCTGACACTGACGGCACATGTTCTGGCTCCTTACTGCGTTCAGGTCTTTGCACCCTCTTGAAAAAGATCATGTAACGTCCAGGTGGTAGCTCTTTTTATCTCGTCATAGGTGACATCCTGGGCTTAAGATGAAGATACTATACTACTGTACTCTACAGAGTTGTTCTTTAGTGGCTCAGTCCTGTCTGACTCTTTGCGACCTCATGGACTGTAGCCTGCCAGGCTCCTCCGTCCATGGGATGTCCCAGGCAAGAATACTGGAGTGGGTTGCCCTTTCTTCCTCCAAGGGATCTTCCCAATCAGGGATTGAAACCACATCTCCTGCATTGATTTTTTTTTTTTTTAACCACTGAGCCACATGGGAAGCCCACTCTGTAGAGTCCTGTAAAGTACAAAACCACAGCCTCTTGTAGAGGATGCACGCGTGTGACAAGTCACAGTGTACGCCAGACAAGTGAACTGATTTATGCGGTTAGACACGGGAGCAAATGTGCACATCTTTGAAAGTTTGAAACTTGAAAGTTCCTGTGTTGGGGACTAAACTGTACTTTGCCCTGAAACAGAAAACGTGTCTTCCTGTTCCCGTGTCCTGGCCTGACACATGCTGTTCCCTTCGGTTTTGTTTTCCTTCTCAGGTGTCTTCGTCCTGACTCAGGTCATTAACTGGTTCCGGACGATTCCCCTGACCTTCAAGGACCAGTTCATCATTGCCTACGGGGGGCTCCGGGGGGCCATCTGCTTCGCGCTGGTGTTTCTCCTTCCATCCTCCGTGTTCCCCCGGAAGAAGTTATTCATCACGGCAGCAATCGTGGTCATATTCTTCACCGTCTTCATCCTGGTGAGTAGAGCTCTGTCTCCCAGCAAAGTCCCTCCTTTTACCAGGAGGAAAAAGGGTCTCTTGGAGGGTCATCCTGAACTTCTCTCATAGGACGTCACATTGCTGAGGTGTCTTGAGGCTTTGGTGGGCTTCCCTGGTGGCTCAGTGGTAAAGAACTCACATGCCAATGCAGGAGATGTGGATTTGACCCTTGGATTGGGAACATCCCCTGGAGGAGGAAATGGCAACCCACTCCTCCAGTAGTCTTGCCTGGAGAATCCCATGGACGGAGGAGCCTGCAGGGCTATGAAGAAGAAATGAAAGTTGCTCAGTCATGTCCAACTCTTTGTGACCCCGTGGATAGTCCATGGAACTCTCCAGGCCTCTAGTCTGTGGGAGTTGGACACAACTTAGTGACTTGACAACAGCAACAACTTGAGGCTTTGGTTATTAGGGCAGGAGAGAGACAGTGTTTCATCAGGTCACTGGATTGTGCAGCAGTCTCAGAGAGTCCAGTTTGGTCACTTGGCCAGCACAGAAGAATTGCTATTTAAGGAAACAGCCATGTGAGCTGAGCTTCCTCCTGGAAACTTACGAACTGCACTTGCTAATCCTTGGCGTTTGTCTTCCTGGCTGACCTCGTAAAGGTGCTTGTTAGTGCTAGCTGTGCTGTGACCTTCCAGCAGCTCTGGGACGGAGGTTCACTGTCGAGCTGTGCGTGGAACTGAGGGAGGGCCGAGTGCACGTTTAACATGGGGAGGGGCAGAGACTGTGGTAGGAGGGCATGGGCCTGAGCCAGGGTCCTGACTTTGCAAGTTAACCAACCTCTTTAGGTTAATCACCTGAGCGGCTTTCACTTTGGGCTTCCCTGGTGGCTTATCTGGTAAAGAATCCTCCAACAATGCGGGAGACCTGGGTTCAATCCCTGGGTTGGGAAGATCCCCTGGAGAAGGGAATGGCTACCCACTCAGTATTCTGGCCTGGAGAATTCCATGGACTGTATAGTCCATGGGGTCACAAAGAGTCGGACACAACTGAGCAACTTTCACTTTATGGTAATCATCCAGCCCTTAAGAGATTCTGTTTTGTGGATATTCATTTAGAAAATCAGAGAAGGAAATGGCAAATCACTCTAGTATTCTTGCCCAGAGAATCCCATGACAGAGGAGTCTGGTAGGCTACAGTCCATGGGGTCGCGAAGAGTCGGACACCACTGAGTGACTGACACACACACGTTTAGAAAATATGCCTAGGGCTCCTGCTGTGTGCCGGACAGAGCTCTGGGCATTTAGAATCTGAGAGTGAGCAAAATATCCAGAAATATCCCCAACCCTGTGGAGGTTCTGTTCCAGGGAAAGTCAGTCTAGTAGGTGAGGCAATGAGAGTCTGCGAGAAGGTGAAAGATGGTGGACTATAAGAGACAGTAGGGGCTTCCCTGGTGGGGGTGGCTCAGTGGTAAAGAATCCGTCTGTTAACGAAGGAGACACAGGTTGGACCCCTGATCCAGGAAGATCCCACATGCCACAGAGCAGCTAAGCCCACGTGCCACAACTATTGAGCCTGTGCTCCAGAGCCTGGGAGCCACAACTACTGAGCGCATGTGCCGCAGCTACTGAAGTCTGCGTGCCCTGAAGCCTGTGCTCCACGGCAGGAGAGGACGCTGCATTGAGAAGCCTGTGCACTGTAACTAGAGAGTAGCCCCCAGTCACTGCAGCTGGAGAAGGCCCATGCACAGCAGCAAGACCCAGTGCAGTCAAAAAGAAGTAAATAATCATTAAAAAAAGAAAAAGAAACAGCGGGGCTCGGGCCAGGGGAGGGGGAGCAGGGGCTCGGGCCAGGGGAGGGGGAGCAGGGTTATAACTCTCGATTGAATAGTCATAGGCGGCAACAATGAGAAACGTGGTATTTGAATAAAGGTTTGCAGGAGGTAAAGGGGTGGCTAAGCTGAAGGACATTCCAGGCAAAGGGGGCTAAAGATGAAGATGTGAAGACAGTGTAGCCACGGCCCACGTGGCTCGGGGGGAGCGCGGTGTGGGACGCAGGAGGCGAGGGAGGGTCTGGGGTCCTGGGTCATGTGGGGGCAGGCGGGCTGGTGTCAGGACATGGGCTCATCTCCAGGTGAAATGGAAGCAGCTTGGGAAGTTTGGTGCTGCTGTGGGTGTGCTTCGCTTTGTAAGAGCATCCCACCGGCCGCTGTGGGGCGGGATGGTGAAGATGAGCCGGTCCGGTGGGGAATGGGGCGGGGGGCAGTGCAGCCAGTCAGCAGACAAGGCAGGAGGGTGGTGGCCAGGTGGCGAAAGGGCTGGGGTCCTGGGATGACTTCTGAAGCTGGAACCTGCAGGACCCCCTGGTGGGTTTGCTGTGGGGTGGCAGGAAAAGGAGCCGTGAGGGACTTAGCTATTGTAAGGACCGACTGGCCCCACGTGAGAAGAGGCGCTGTGGGTGGCGGGCTGGGAGCCCGCTTTCCAGCACTCGAGGTTGGGGGCTGTGAGACCTGCGGGTGGGGGTGATGAACAGGAGGGTGGGGTACCTGAGCCTGGCGTCCAGGAAGGAGCTGGGTCGGCAGCACAGGGCTGGGATCCACAGCTGGGAAGCCGGAAGTGGTCACCAAGGGGGTGGAAATCCACTGAGGAAACCAAGAGAGGACCAGTAACTGGGCTCTGGGGCAGCCTAGCTGTGAGACCCTGGGAGGAGACGAAGCAGCCGAGAGGAGCGAGGAAGGGTGATGAGTGACACTTACCGTAAGAAAACCAGGAGATGATTTGTTTGATTTTTTAAAAAAATATTTTGTTTACCAGGTAGTCATGGAATGCTTTCTAGGTGCCTGACTCAGATATAAGCACCTTTGATGTTAGCTCTTTAAATCCTCATAACTGTTCTAAGGCACAAACTCTGGGAGGAATCATTGTCTTTGTTCCCATTTCATTGACAGGGAAGCTGAGGCACTGGAACCCAGGTGGAGACCTTCCCCCAGGTTTACACAGCCAGGAAAAGGTGATGCAGGGGGGTCGAGAGCAGTTTGGTCTTAACTCTAAATAGAGTGCCTGTGGAACTTCTCTGGTGGTTCAGTGGTTAAGACTCCTGGCTTCCAGTACAGGAGGTGTGGGTTCCATCGCTGGTCAGTGAGCTAAGACCCCACCTGCCTCATGGCCAAAAAACCAAAGCGTAAAACAGAGACAATATTGTAATGGATTCATAAAAACTTAAAAAATGGTCCATGTTAAAAAAAAAATGCTTAAAAATAAAGAAATAAAGTACCTGGTAGAGTGGCCAGTGAAGAGTGAGTATATTGTATGTCGTCCTATTTCTTCTCCTTCTAGTTACCTCTCCACATAGCGGTTCATCGTTCACTCACTCATGCCTGCCAACACTGTGGACGGTAGTTTGTCCAGTCTAAGGAATCCTGGGGAGGAAGGAAGGAAGGGAGGAAGGAAGCCTGGGGATACCCTCCCTGAGTGGAGAAGTGGGCCCTGTCCCCCTAGGTCCTTGTCACCAGCATCTTTGCATGCAGTGCCCTCCAGTGACTTCTTCCTTGTTGTGCTGGGCTCTAGACGAGGGCTGTCTAGGTGCACGATCTCATTTCATCCTCCAGACCAGCCCTGGTGAAGGAGGCCAGCGGTTCCCCCAGCTGAGGACGCTCAGGCTCAGAGAGGGAGAGCGAGCTGATCAGGGCACAGGTTGGTGAGTGATGGGAGCTGGGGGTGAGCCCGGGACCCTGTCCCCAGAGACAGGCTCAGAACCTTGGGGCTCTGCTGACCCCCAAGAGAAGACAGTCCTTGCCAGCTTACGGCTAGGTATAGTTCAGTTGATTAACATACTCATTGGGTTCAGACATCCCGGGTTGCTTAGAGCTCCTGTCATAAATGCAGCGAGACAGCATGGAGCCTCTGGGTGGAGAGAAGCAGAGACCCTGTCTCCATCTTCTCACAGTGTGTTTACAGGAGCCTTGGGACAAGCATCCAAGTAGCTGCTCTCAGAGTAGGGGGGAGATGATGCTGTGAAATGAATCCATTTTTAAAAGATATATAATTTTTAATTGGAGGGTGACTGCCTTACAATATTGCATTGTTTTCTGCTATGTATCAACATGAATCAGCTATAGGTCTATGTTTGTCCCCTTCCTCTTGAGCCTCCCTGCCACCCCCCACCCCATCCCACCCCTCTGGGTGGTCGCAGAGCTCTGGGTTTGAGCTTCCTGCATCGTACAGCAAATTCGCACTGGCTCTCTATTTTAGATATGGTGACATATATCGAATCCATTTGTGTAACTTTCTGTTTTGTATCAGAGTATGCTTGATTAACAGTGTTGTGTTAGCTTCAGGCGTGCAGCAAAGTGATTCGGTTATCATGAAACTTTTCTAAACGATGCTTAATATTACATAACAGCCTAAGTAGGAAAGGAGTTTGAAAAAGAAAGTGAATCCATTTTGCCTTGAGCCTTTTAATGTTGCAGCAGCAGCTTAGGGCAGAGTGGCTGAGGGGACAAGCCAGACCAAGGGTGTCACTCTCCTCCTCTTCCCAAGCCTGCTGCTCTGTCCTTACGCCCCACCGGAAGCTCTGGCCAGGCTGAGTCAATACTCTGGACTCCTCTCCTCACTCTCAGAGCTCAAGGTGTCATGTCTGAGTCTCAAATACAAAAATAGAACCGTGTCAGTCTAGAGCAAGTAGCAGCCGGGTCGTTTGGAGATAAATCTATCAGCTCTTATTATCTACACAAATATCCACAGTGTAAAAACAGCCCCCTGCCCCAACACCATGGGTGTAGGCTTTGTAAAATGAAATTAAAAAGGCTGAATAAAAAGATGTAATCCGAGAGAGGACACACAAAATGCAAGCTCAGAGTTTAGATACTATTGAATAGGTCGGACAGATGTAGAATTGCACTTCTACAATCAGAACAGACATCAATAGGAAAAAGAAAAATGCTGCAATAAATTTATACTGTTGCTCATTGAATGTGTGTGCATAGGTGGTTAATATAAGGTATTATTATTACACTCTGGGTATTTTGGATTTTTTGG